AAAGACATTTATGCAGCCAACAAACATATGGAAAAAAAGCTTATCATCACTGGTCATTAGAGAAATGCATATCAAAACCACATTGAGATATCACCTTACACCAGTTAGAATGGCAGTCATTAAAAAATCAGTAGACAATAGTTGCTGGAGAGGATGTGGAGAAATAGGAATGCTTTTACACTGTTGGTGAAAGTGTAAATTAATTCAACCATTGTGAAAGACAGTATGGCAATTCCTCAAGGATCTAGATATACAAATACCATTTGACCCAGCAATCCCATTCCTGGGTATAAACCCAAAGGATTACAAATCATTCTGTTATAAAGACACATGCACACTTATGTTTATTGTGGCACTGTTCACAATAGCAAAGACTTGGAACCAACCCAAATGCCCATCAATGATAGACTGGATAAAGAAAATGTGACACATATACACCACAGAATACTATGCAGCCATAAAAAATGATGAGTTCATGTTCTTTGTAGGGACATGGATGAAAACTGGAAACCATCATTCTCAGCAAAGTGACACAAGAACAGAAAACCAAACACCACACATTCTCACTGATAAGTGGGTGTTGAACAGTTAGAACACATGGACACAGGGAGGGGAACATCACACACTGGGGCCTGAGGGGTGGAGGACTAGGGGAGAAATAGCAGGGGGTGGGGGGGATTGGGGAGGGATAGCATTAGGAGAAATACCTAATGTAGATGACAGGGTGATGGATGCAGCAAACCACCAGCATGGCACATGTATACCTATGTAACAAACCTGCACAATGTGCACATGTACCCCAGAACGTAAAGTATGATAAATAATTTTTTTAAAAAATGGTAAGGGTATCAATTCAACAAGAAGAGCTAACTATCCTAAGTATACATGCATCCAATATAGGAGCACCCAGATTCAAAATCTGTATGTGAATATATATATATATATATATAATATATATATATATATATTCTATATAAACATATATATATTGAATATATTATATATATATTCTATATAAACATATATATATTGAATATATTATATATATATGTATATATATATCCATCCCACAGTTGGTGGGAATGTAAATTAGTTCAACCATTGTGGAAGAGAGTGTGGCAATTCATCAAGAATCTAGAACCAGAAATACCATTCAATCCGACAATCCCATTACTGGGTATATACCCAATGGAATATAAATCATTCTACTATAAAGACACATGCACACATATTTTTATTGCAGCACTGTTCACAATAGAAAAGACATGGAACCAACCCAAATGCCCATCAATGATAGGCTGAATAAAGAAAATATAGTACACATGTACTATGGAATACCATGCAGCCATAAAAAATAATATGATCATGTCCTTTGCAGGGACATGGATGAAGCCAGAAACTGTCATGCTCAGCAAACTAACATGGGAACAGGAAACACACACACACACACACACACACACACACCTTCTCACTCATAAGTGGGTGTTGAACGATGAGAACACATGGGCACAGGGAGTAGAACAACATATACCCTGGCCTCTGGGGGCAAGGTGAGGGAGAGCATTAGGACAAATAGCTAATGTATGCTGGGCTTGGAATCTAGATCATGGGTTGATAGATGCCGCAAACCACCATGACACATGTAAACCTATGTAATAAATCTGCACATTCTGCACATGTATCCTGGAACTTAAAGTAAATTTTTTTTTAAAAAAGAGATTAATTAGAGCATATTTCTTATCTAGGTTAGGAGAAGGCTAATGATATTGAGTAACTTAAAAGTACATGAGGAAAATGGATGGGTAAGCAGACTGTTTTAAACATTTTAAGGGGTATCCTTAAAAACAGAACATTGCAATTTGTAATTCTCAGTACAGTAGAGGAAAAAACAAACAAAAGGCTTTTCAATTCTATAAAATCCAATAAAACAAAAAATATAGCAAAGAAAATTTGATGAATAAAACAACAAATAAGAAGGTGGTAGCAATACAACTATTTCAATTATCTTGATAAATTTAACCAAATTAAACTCACATTTAAAACTTCAGAGACTATTAAGCCATTAGAGATATTATATACTTGGCTTATAAGACACTTAAATCCAGCTGCTTCATAAATGGGTGCATCAATCTAATAATAAAAACAATCAATAGCAACATAGGAGTTGGGAGCAAAACAATTTCAAGAATGATCATACAACTTGTACCCACAATTACCAAACATATCATTTTCAAGAATTCACAAAAATTTTACAAAAATAAATGGAAATTACACAACTACAATATGAATTTTATATATATATATATTTAAATATATATATATATTTAAATATATATATATATATATATATTTAAAGATGGGGTTTCACCATGATGGCCAGGCTGGCCTTGAACTCTTGACCTCAGGTGATCCACCCACCTCGGCCTCCCAAATTATATTTTTAAACAAAAAATATTGCTCTCAAAATCTACAGTGAGACTGTTGATGGGGATGTAAAGTGGAAATGTAAAGCCACTATAGAAAGCAGTTTGGCAGTTCCTCAAAAAAGTTAAAAATAGAATTAGCACATGATCCAGCATTTTTTATTTTGGCATTTCCAAAAATTCCTCAAAAACTGGATATACCATTTTTGGTAGAGATTGAATATTCCTAATCCAAAGCTCCAAAACTGAAATGTTCCAAATCTGAAACTTTTTGAGTGCCAACATGACACCCAAAGGAAGTCCTTATTGGGGCATTTTGGAATTTGAATTTTGGGATTAGGGATGCAGAATGAGTAAGTATAATGCAAATACTCCAAAATCTGAAAAAATTAGACATTCAAAACATGTCATGTCCCACTCATTTTTTATAAAGGATACTCAACCTGTATATCCAAAATAATTGAAATCAGAACCTCAGAGATATATACTTTATGGTCATTGCTGCATTATTTACAATAACCAAAATATAGAAACAACCTAAATGTCCATCAACCAATGAACTGATAAAGAAAATGTGGTATGTACATAGCAGTGGAATATTATTCAGCCTCAAAAATCAAGGAAATCTGCCCCATGCAACAACATGGGTAACCTGGAGGACATTATGCTAAGGGAAATAAGCCAGTTGCAGAGAAACAACTATTGCATGATTCCTCATATATGAGATATGTTAAATAGTCAAACTCATAGAAACATGGTTGCTAGAGGGAGGGAGAATTAGGAGTTGCTGTTCAATGGGTATAAAGTTTCAGTTATGCAAGATGAATAAGCTCTAGAGGTCTGCTGTACAACATAGTGCCTGTAGTTAATAGAAACATGATGTGTACTGAAAAATTTTAAAGGATAGATCTCACGCTAAGTGTTCTTACCATATACACACACAAAAAAAATTCTATAGGGAAAAGAAGTATTGTTCCCTTTCTAGATGCAATCAATGTTTATAACTTATGTATCCTTTGCTTTTTAAATATACTTTCATATATATGTTTACTTTTTAATATATAAATGGGATATTTATTTATTTTTGATTTGTTTCTTTTTGCATATAAAATGTTTGAAATATTATAGTAAGAAAGGCCCATCTTTTTTAAACTACTGAATTTTTACTTTGAATGGTAAGATGCATTCATTCAGTTTATACAAATATTCTTATATATTACTTTTTTTTGTTTTTGAGAGGGAATCTCACTCTGTTGCCTAGGCTGGAGTGCAGTGGCACTGTTTCAGCTTACTGTAACCTCTGTCTCCTGGGTTCAAACCATTCTTGTGCCTCAGCCTCCCTAGCAGCTGGGATAACAGGTGTGTGTGCCACCATGCCCAGCTAATTTATTTGTATTTTTTTTTAGTAGAGTTGGGGTTTTACCATGTTGGTCAGGCTGCTCCCGAACTCCTGACCTCAGGAGATCCACCTGCCCTGGCCTCCCAAAGTGCTGGGATTACAGGCACGAGCCAACACAACTGGCCCACTTATTCTTTATAATATTGAATATATCCAGTACAAATACAATAAAATGAATTAAATCTAGAGAGAGGTAAATATTGGAATTTGGAATAAGTGCATGGAGGATGAAATGGGATCATTTAACATCAAATGTTAGCCAAAGATAGGTATATAGATAGGTAAGTATGTAGAAAGATAGAGATAATAATGATGATAATTGATTGATAGATAAGCAACACCACACAAGTTGCCTTGATTTTTTTATTTTTTATTTTCTGTGTTTTCCTCTGATTCTCAATTTCAGAACATCTTAAATGAGATACTTTCTGTTCTAAGGAGTACATATCCTTATAAGATACAGTCATGCTAACAATACTATTGATTACATCCTATAAATTTTACCACTCTTATTTAGAAAAAAGCATTGATTATAAAAACAAATCCATTGTTTACTGTGTTTTCTTAAATTGTATCACTCAAAAAGGCATTGTTTTAAGAAAAGACATTGTTTTAATGTCTTCCTCAAAAGCTTTTGAATTATTCTAGAAATACAAGACACAAAACAAATGATACAACAATGAATATATCCATGAGCATCTATATAACTCTATCAATGACTCATAAAATACTTGTTTTTGGCATAAACTCTAGCCTCTAATTAGAGTATCAAACTGATAATAAAATATAGAGAATTTGGGTAGCAAAATATACTACTAAATAAAGATTCTGGTTTCTAGAGTCCTAGGAACAGATAATTCATCCGAGAACAGAAGAAACCTAGTTACTCCCACAGGACTAAAACTAATTTTCATGACTCAGACCATTGCCCCTCTTACTGTAGTCAGCTGCGTCTTTCGGACTAACTGGCGATTGCTGGAAAATTATACATTCTACATTTTATATCTATGTATTGATTTCACTAATGAAATTTCAGAAGAATCTTTTGTCACTAAAACAAAATGACATATAACAAATTCAGGATATTTGGACACAAATGTTTTTATAATTATTTATTTCACTTTTTTAGTATTTATGGAACTATTATTTACATAAAAACTAACAAAATTCATACTAACCTTATGAAATGTCCAAAGATGTCACTTAAACCTGTGTTGACATCTCCCTCTAATGTGAGTAAGGAATCCTCTATGTCCTCTTACCTATTTTAAGGGAAAAGCCACTGTTGGGGAGAGAATTGATGTTTCTGAGATGAAGGACAATGGAGAAAAAGTAGTCAAGGCCTCTAATCTGAAGTTGCAAAGTCCCTAAAGCATTGTCTGATTCGGGAATCTCTAAATATCAACGAAGAGAAGCACACACTATAATTAATCACTAACTTGACATTTTCATATCTTTACTTTCCTTACCTTGACATTTTTATTTTCTATTTCACAAGAAACTAGCATGTGACCATTAACAACTGAAAAAGAAAGATGTAAGAGGCTTGGAAATCTGTTTTCGAACTGGTAAATGATTCTTGGGTTTAGCTCCAAACTACTTGGCTGAAAACCTCTCTGACAGTTTTAAACTTAACCAAAGGGCTTAAAAGATAATTCTTGTCCTTCACATCGCTTCAAGCATTATTCTTAGGAGAATGCTTTCTTAACCCTGACACACTCAGATGGGACACCACATTTGAGAAGCTGTTTGGACTCTCTTGATTTAACTTCAACACTTATATGACTTTTATAGTTTAGTTCATAAATATACATGATAAAATAAAAATTTAAATAATTTACCATTTGAGTAAAATGGACGCAAAAGGAAGATCTTTGTTTATCTGGTGACTTCAGATACCTCCTCTTTCCTGTCAGTGTAATTTATGGGATATCAGCACCTCCATTTAAGAAATCCTCACTATCAGTTTCTCCTGAACTAATCAGACCTCAGAGCATTGGGCTCTCTCTCACCTCTTTAATGAGCTCCTACTTCTCCCGAGGCTTGAAATTGGCATTTTCTCTACGAAATCTTCCTTCCTGTCACTCAGGAAAAAAACTTTACAGTTGTACTTTACTTTTACTCTCACATCCCATTTTCAGTCAGAAAATCATATGGGCATTGCATTAATAATAGATCTGCGACCCATCTATATTTTATACCTTCACTGCTATGACCTTGGCCTCCCATACAATGTCTCCTGTAGATCACTATCATAGCATTTTCTTAATTGGTCTCTCTGCTCTCACTTGTTTCTCCTCCAGTCCATTCTAATGCAATGTGTTTAATTCTTTCTAAGATATTATTAGTCAAGCCATGTCCCTCTGTGCTACAACCACTGCAATGGCTTCTGATTTACTCCATATAAAGATTTAAATTCTAACAATGGTTTATAAGGTCCTATGCCATCTGACCTCCTGCTACTACCTGACTTCCACATTCTGCTTTGTTCCCCTTGTTATTCCATACCAGACATCCTAAAAATTCTCTGGCCGAGGCAGGCCTGTGTTATCTCTTTGTGAGGTACATGATGGGAGCAAGGGAGAAGAGTAGTTTTATGACTTACACACATGCTCAAAGTCAAGGTGCTATTAGGCATAAATGTAATTTATTTTTAAAACATTTGGCTCTTAAGTAGGTCTCTTGATGGCATAGATAAGATAGTGGACATGTATAAATACATTTGTTTCAAGTTGGGATTTAGTGAAATTACTTACTAAGTGATCACATGTTGTCACAACACATCTCAACTTGTCTTTAAAAAACTGAGCAACTAATTTTATAAGATAATTAATTCACAAATGTTACCATCCCTCCCCCTCTTTCTACTGAATTGTAAAGACAGTTCAATCTCTTTTCAGGATAAGGGACCCTGCATTACATCCCAGGACAAAACGTTTGTATTATGATGAAGAATTAGAGAAAATGACAAGGAAAAAAATGAACCGAAAGGAATCCCAGGAGAAGTAATTTGTAAATGTTTTTGAAAAGAACAACTGTGCTACATAGCCATTAGGTCAAGAAGAGGACAGCACAAAAACAGGTCAAAAACATTTTGTGGGAGACTTATTTTTCCCTCATGCTGTTTGGGAAAAATACAAGTAAAGGATGTTATTAATTTGAAATCTGCATTGGGTCTTTAACTGGACTACTTCTCTGAGACTGAACCACATGATCCATATTCTATTACAGTCAGATTTAGAAATTTAGATTTGATTATGGTTTCACCAATTTATAGTGACTCTCCAATACACTTGAACATGTACAAAGGCATGTTCAAGTGTATTGAACATAAATTTGAAAGTGGGAAGTGTGCTCAGTAACCCATGAGCTGACAGGACACTCAGCTGGTAAGAAAGCCAAATGTAAGAAAGCCTGTGATGCAGGATAAAGTTTCAGAACTGCCTTAATTGTTTTCTGGGCTTAAAATATTTTCCCTCAGTGCCTTAGGTTGGTTCTGTAGAAAACAGAGCTTGAGACAGGGGCTCTTATCTAACTGATTTGCTGAGGGAGTTTCACAGATAAAATCTATAAGGAAACAAGGGAGAAGGATAAAGAAGAGGAAGAAGCTAAGTCTTAGTGGAATCCCACAGGTAGTTCTGAAGCATGAGTGTTCCACCTGGAGATAAGAAGTCTAGTTTTTGTACTCCAGAAATCAGTCAGTCAGCTGCTCTCAGTTGCTCTGTGACTTTCTGTCTTGATGACCTGCCTAGTGCTGTCAGTGGAGTATTAAAGTTCCCCACTATCATTATGCTGCCATCTCTCTCCTTTTTCAGGTCTAATGGTAACTGTTTTATAAATTTGGGATCTCCGGTGTTAGGTGCATATATATTTAGAACTGCGATATTTTCCTGTTGGAATGATCCTTTTATCATTGTGTAATGTCTCTGTCTTTTTTAACTGCTGTTGCTTTAAAGTTTGTTTTGTCTGATATAAGAATCGTTATTCCTGCTTGCTTTTGGTGTCCATTTACGTGGAATATCTTTATCCACCCCTTTACCTTAAGTTTCTATGAGACCTTATATGTTAGGTGAGTCTCCTGAAGACAGAAGAAACTTGGTTGGTGAATTCTTACCCATTTTGCCATTCTGTGTCTTTTAAGTGGAGTATTCAGGCCATTTACATTCAATGTTATTATTGAGATGTGAGGTACTGTTCTATTTATTGTGCTACTTGTTGCTTGAAAATGTTGTTTTCTGGGAATTTCCCTGTTGTTCTTTGAGCTTCTTGTATTTGGATGTCTAGATCTCTAGCAAGGCTGGGGAAGTTTTCCTTGATTATTCCCTCAAATATGTTTTCTAAACTTTTAGATTTCTCTTCTTCCTCAGGAACACCAATTATTTTTAGGTTCAGACATTTAACATAGTCTCAAACATCTTGGAGGCTTTGTTCATTTTTTAAATTGTTTTTTCTTTGTCTTTAATGGATTGGGTTAATTCAACTGCCTTGTTTTTGAGTTCTGAAGTTCTTTCTTCTGCTTGTTCGATTTTATTCCTGATGCTTTCCAGTGCATTTTGCGTTTCTCTACGTGTGTTCTTGATTTCCATAAGTTGTGATTGGTTTTGTTTATGCTATTTCACTGAAGAATTTTCGTTTCTTATCCTGTATGATGTTTGTAATTTCTCTAAGTTAAATTTCACCTTTCTCTGTTCCTCCTTAATTAGCTTCATAATCCTAATCACTTTCTGAATTCTTTTTCTGGCAGTTCAGAGATTTCATCTTGGTTTGGATCCATTGCTAGTGAGCTGGTATGATCTTTTGCAGCGTTAAAGAAACTTGTTTTGTCATATTACCAGAATTGTTTTTCTGGTTCCCTCTTATTTGGGTAGACTATGTCACAGGGAATATCTAGGGTTCAAGGATTGCTGTTCAGATTACTTTGTCCCATTGGGTGCTCCCTTGATGTGGCATTCTCCTGCTTCCCCTCAGAATGGGGCTTCCTAAGAGCCAAACTGTAATGACTGCTTTTGCTTTTCTGGGTGTAGCCAACCAGTGGAGCTTCTGGGCTCCAGGCTGGTATTGGGTGTGACTGCAAAGAGAACTGTGATGTGATCCATCTTCAGGTCTTGCAGCCATGGATACCAGCATCTGCTCTGGTTGAGGTAGCAGGGGAGTGAAGTGGGTTCTGTGAGGGTCTTCAGTTTTTTTATGTTTCTTCTAAGATATGTTTGCCTAGCCTGAAGTTAGAAAGACTTTCTTCTCTGTTTTCTTCTAGTTTTATAGTTTTCGATTTTAGACATGTCTATGACTCATTTCAAACTAAATTTTATATATGATGTAATGTAGAGGTTAAAGTTCATCTTTGTTTTTCATTATGATGTCCATTTCTGAAAACAATCCTTTAACCTATGGAATTACCTAAGCGTCTTTGTTGAAGATCAACTGACTACATAGGTATGGTCTAGTTCCAAACTCTGTACTGTTCCATGTATGTAGACATCTTTTTATACTAATACCACACTGTCTTAGTTAATGCAGATTTGTGGTCAGTCTTGCAATTAGGTAGTGTAAATTCTATGAAATTTTGGAAAATTGTTTTGGCAATTGTAACTGTAATTTTATAAAAATTTTAGAATGAATATAACAATTTCTATGGTTAAAAAAAAAGAGCCCAGGAGATTTTGATTAGAATTGCTATGAATATATGAATAAATTTGGGAAGAGTGGAGATCTTAATATTGTGTCTGACAGTGTGAATGTATTTATTTTCATAATATTGGAAATGGCATAATATTTTCAATTTCATTTTGCAATTGATGATGTTAGTACATAAAAATATAATTTATATTGACCTATTCGGTGGCACATCAAAATTTTAGCATTATTTCTAGTATCTTGGATGATTTAACTTTCTGCCAGAGTGGATTTATTTTTGTTTCTGACAGCTAGGACATTAGTAGTTCTAGATTACTTTAGTACATTAGGAATTCTTATGATTCAAAACCAGACTACAGCTCCTAAATGTGATCAATTTCCATTTTAACCTTATTCTTGGGGTAGAGTACTCAGGGGTTATGACTCAATGGCTGAGGATTGGGGGGTATCAGAGGAAACTTCCTGTTGGTGTACTGAATTCCAATGTCTATTCTCGATTAATTTGGAGGGGCTTTTAGCCATATTTCCCCAATAAGCAGCTGTTGCTAGGATATTGATACATAAAGTGTTCCCTCACTTCTTTGAGTTTCCTTTTCTTGACTAATTCTTCATTGTTTTTAGCTTCTATTGTCTTGAAGTAGATACTCTTTATGTTTTCTCCAGATCTAAGTTATTTAGTCCATTATCAGAGACTTACAATTTATTAAATATAAACATGAGTACTTCTTCTGAATTATTATCCCATCTATTTGCCTTCTTTGAAAGATCATTTGAAACCACTGAAGTAACATTTAAGTTATATTAACGTTCTAAAGATCTTTAAAAAGATATCTCTAAACAATGTATCTATTCTCAGTACTCTACTATTTTAGCGCCAAGGTTTACCAAAGAATACAAGGACTTCTTCATAGCCTTAACTATGATTTTGCAAATTATTATTTACCTTCCCTAGTTGCATTCATAATAACCTATAGACATATTTTATTTCTCTATCTGTATGTTTAATTTATATTTGTGTTACTTATGGAGGGTGTCCAGGTTCTTGGCATTTTGAACAAAGAATTGAACAAAATGTACAAAGAAAGAAAAGAATGAATCAGCAAAAGAAGATATTTGTTGAAAACCAAAGTACATTCGACACAGTGGGAGCGGGCCTGAACAAGCAGCTCAAAAACCTGGTTACAGAATTTTCTGGGGTTTAAATACCTTCTAGAGGTTTCCCATTGGTTACTTGGTGTACACCCCGTGTAATTGGAGAGGATAAAGAGAAGTTACAAAGTTATTTACTTGGTGTATACCCTAAGCAAATGAAGAGGATGTTTCTTGACACAGCTGAATTGAAGTTACAAAGTTATTTACTTTGCTCTAGAAAGTTGGACTTTTTTTCCATTTGATTTAGTTCTAGGAACTCCTTAGGTTCCCTGCCTCTGGACCTGAGTTTTTCCTGCCTCATTTGTATAATAATTTCAGAAGTCCATAAGCATGTGTTAATTACAAATTTAGTAACCTCAAAACTAACTGAACTTGGCTTTCAACTCCTGTTTTGCTTAATGCAGAAAACTTAATTCTCCAATTCAGCAAATTATGGATTGTTTTTATTAGTCTTCACGTGGTAAATTCACACTCTATTCCAAACTTTCTTCTTAGCATCTTGGTGTCTCTGGGGACTACAAATGTCCCAGGAAGTTATGCATTATTCAGGAAATGGAACGAAGAAAAGTTTATCTTCCCCTATGGTATATATCCTTGCACACAATTTTTTTTTAAGGATTTGTTTTTTAGGCTAATTTGAGGTTTGCAGCAAAATTGCAAGGAAGGTGCAAAGATTTCCCATGTATTTCCTGCCCCCGCACATGCATAGCCTCCCTCATTAACACTATCCTCCACCAGAGTAGGTGGTGAGATGTGAGGGAGGGAAAGCATTCTATAGTCCCATTATTAAGTCTCAGTCTTTTAGTGAGCCTGTGCCTCTGGACTGTGAACTTCAGAAATGCTTCTCAGTTCCACTTTGATGAGATAGCTAGAGTAGGCAGGAGTTTGGTATGATCTTTCCTTCAGGTTCATTAGGCTTTGATAAACCCTGCAGGTTAGGCTCTGGTTAACTAGTTTCTTCTGAGGACAGGCCTTGTTAAGAGCAGTGTTGTCACCTATTTCAAAATAGTTTCTATTCTTCTCTCTCTGCTAGAGCATGAGAGAATTTTTCTCTAATATTTACTGTGAGAACCTGAGCAAACTCCTGAAGGTAAAACTTACAAAAGTGTGTAAGTGTCAAAAAGACTGACAAGAGGAATTATTGATTTTTCAGTCTACTGAACTTTTTGTTTGTTGTTTGGACTGGGTGGTAACTTCCAATTTTCTCATGTGAGGAACTGGAAACAGGAATTCTGCATACAATTTTGTGTACATCTCCTGATTATTCCCATTGTCTTGCCACAGTCTGTGCTTCCTATTATATGTGTTGCATTTATTGACAGTATCCTTTCATTTCAAATCTTAATCCTTTTTACATCTTCTAGTACACTCTTGAATATATCTACATGTCTCATGTATAAGAAATTATTGGATCTTATATGCAGTAAGCTACAGTGCATAATATTTTATGCATCTATCCTCAGATCTAGTTACCTAGGAATATAACTCAACCATTGCTGCTCTTAACACACAATAGGCTGGAAAGGCAACTTCCGGCTTCTCAAGCTATACACTCCAGGAAGTGAAGCACAGCCCCTACGTCTTGGACTTTGCATGAAATGGTCATAAGGCAGCAATATCACATTGGCATCCAGGCTCTCTTTCTTTTTCTTTTCTTTCTAAAACTTGAAAAGCATTTTTTTTTTTGTTTTTTGAGACGGAGTTTCACTCTTGTTACCCTGGTTGGAGTGCAATGGCGTGATCTCAGCTCACTGCAACCTCCGCCTCCTGAGTTCAGGCAATTCTCCTGCCTCAGCTTCCTGAGTAGCTGGGATTACAGGCACGCGCCACCATGTCCAGCTAATTTTTTTGTATTTTTAGTAGAGACAGTGTTTCACCATGTTGAACAGGATGGTCTCGATCTTTTGACCTCGTGATCCACCTGCCTCGGCCTCCCAAAGTGCTGGGATTACAGCCTTGAGCCACCGCGCCCGGCCGCATTTTTACTCTTTATTTAGGATAGAGGAACATTAGCTTTCATATTATCAAGTATTACTCGAAACTCTATTTTTTATAAAATTTGTAAGCCCTCGTACTTTGGAAAAAAACTTTCTTAAAATGTTATCTCCTGCAATTCAAATTGTTAAACATTATTGTTTTTGATATAAGTTATCTAAATTCTATTTTGAAACTCAACAGCCTTCTTAGACTGATTTATAATCTGACATTTCCTCTGAGATGATAAATGACACTGATTTAATAACTGGATGGCCTAAAGTCAATGAGAATATACAGGGAAAAACTACATACTTTAGTTTTAAAAATGAAAGAACATACACAGTTAAAAATGTAAGAACTGGATTTTAGTAGGAATGATATAGATCTTTAAACACACAGTGCCATGGTTCTTTATAGATTGTCTTGGATAATATCAATGATTTCATGGTAAACTTGATCATAGACATCTAATCCAAACAAAAAGTCTATATGATTGTAGTAAGAAATAGTTTTATAATAAATGCGGTTTGTGATTTCAGAATGTAGAATTTTAACGTCTTCGGGGTCTGCCAATAAGTCCCTTTTACCATTCCAAATTGCGGTTGCCACATTCATGTTTGTCACATTGTATAATGGAGATGTTGTCTAAAAATAAATGAGTGAAAAAAGAGTTTTCATAAGAGATGATACATTAGAAGGTTTTCATTACTCGTTATTTTAAAATGATGACTTTAAATACCGTTTTAAAATAAGTCAAATCTAATGGATTCAACTTAATGGATCTGTTGAAACAAAGGTATAAAAGCATGAATAGGCATTATAAGTTTTATTTGGAAATAAATCATACTTAAATTTAAACTTGACAGTTTGCTCTATTCAAAATATTCAAACACTTCACAGAGGTAATTTCAGTACTATTTATAAAACAAAAGGTTTTAAATCAAATTTTCTGTGGCAATATTACTATCAATATGTTGGTCAATAAATTATAAGTATTTGCAGTCAGTGTCAACTCTGATCTCATTGAATTTGATCTTCAAATTTTATATGAAGATCAGACTTTTATATGAACAGATTACATAAGGCCTGGAGTTTAGCTGAGGCAGAAAACTATGGAAGAAAAGCGTGAACTTTGCAGTCAGACAGACTTGGGATCTAGTACTTCCATAATTTTGTTGTTATACGATTTTTACCACATTCTCGTTGACTTATAATTTTTCCTAATTATTGTATGTGTTTTCTTATCTTTCCAAATAGAATAACTGGTTTTAGGGTCAATAAATATATTATGCCTATAATTTCTTATTAACCAAATGTAAAGCTATGTATATAAAAAACACAATATTTTCCCTCTTGAGATACAATGACTTCTTCTACTGCCTGTCAACTTTTCTAGACTTATCCAGAATATTTGTTATTAAAATACATGGAAAAGCCACTTTGGTTGGATGTGACAATATGTATTCAAATAAACATTATCTTCATCTGCTGGTCCTTGTTGGTGTGTTATTGTACTCTGGGGATTTATAGTTCATCCTTAATCTATAGTGAAGTCATCTGAACAATCAGGAAGGGAGAGAATTTTTATTTTATAAAGAATTATGCACCCGATTATGATGAACCAAGTTCAGATCAGGACTGCCCCAGTCATAAGCTTTCAAATGAGTAGAATTTAAAAGCTGAAAGAGAAACAAACAAGAAGACCATATCATTTGTTCATAACAGTGGCAGCTGAGCAAATTAAGCATGCAATGCATATATGACCTCATTGATGGGTCTGCTGGTATTTATGCAGCTGGGCTTCTTTGTTCTTCTTTTCCTTTGGATACTTAAATAGAAGGGATTGGAGATGGGACAGGGGAAGCTAAAGAATATAATTTCATTGTCTTTATATAAATGTACATACATCCAAGGCCTTTTTCTACCAGGAGGGGAGCCTCTTTTAGGGAAAGTAACATCAGGCTCCCTCAAATTTTCAGCTTCATCAACAGAGATCATCACTGAGTGTCTTGTACTGAGACTAAGATAACACATGACTAAAACACGTTACTTCAAACAGCAGGGCTCAAGAGTTTGTCTCAGAAGTCACTTTTTGCTTTATCCCTTTATACTCACAGCCTCACCACCACTTTCTGGCCAAGGTTACTTATGACCTTGACATTTCTAGCACTTTGATCAATTCTGAGGAACTTTTTCATGTCATCTATTGGCGGCACTTGACATAATTGTTCATTCCCTCATCCTTGAGATCTTTCCTTCACTTAGCTTCTGGAACACCACAATTTCTTTATCTTCATTTTCACTTACTGTTCCTTTTCAGCTTTGTTTAGCTGATTTAGTTTCTGCCACCTGACCTGTTCATCTTTTCAGATCTCAGTACCCAATCCTTGCTAGAAGGATCTTGCTCTTCTCTATCTATACTCACTTCATTAGTATTCTCACCCACTCTCTTGGCTTTAAATGTCATTTACATTCAAAATGCTTATCTTCTTTTATAAGTATATCCTAAATTCTAGGCTCCTACATGCAACTGCTTACTCAATGTCATCACTTAAATATCTAAAACATATTTTACCTTTCCTCCAAACCCTTCTATCATCAAACCTCCTCATCTCCTTTAATGGCAATTTTATCTTTTCACTACGTAAGTCAGAAACTTTAAAATCATCCAAGACTCTTTCTCTCTTACCTATTATAGAGTCCATTGTTAAACCTTGTTGCCTGCATGTTCATGATTTACATATGTTTATTCAGACTCCATTCATTTTCACCACCTCCACTGTCAATGCATCAGTCCAAGCAACTGTTAAATCCCATCTGGATTATTGCGATAATTTCCTAACTCTCACCGCTTTCACTCTTGTCCCGCTATAGTCTACTCCACATAGCAGCCAATGTGTTCCTTTTAAAAGTGTACACTATATCATGTCACTTCCCTGCTCAAAAAACATGTAGTGCCTACTCATTTCACACAGAGTGAATGCCAAAGTCCTTACAATGGCATACAGATCCCTCCTACTCATTATTTTTGCTTCCTTTCTCTAAGTTTCTCTTCAGACACACTTGCTTCTTAGCTGAGCCTCCCAGAAATGCTACTGAATATGGGTTTTGCATAGGCTACTCCTTCTATCTGAAATGTTTGCCCCACCCCCCATTGTATGGTCTAAATCTTGTGTCCCTGCAAAATTCATAAGTTGAAATCCTAACCCCCAAAGTAATTGCATTAACAGGTAAAGCCTTTGAGGGAGGAGATTAGGTCACAAGGGCACGAGGAAACTCTTTTGCCCCTTCTACCATCTGAGGACATGGTTAGAAGGTACCATCTATGAACTGGAAAGTGGGCCTTCACTAGACACCAAATCTGTTAGCATGTTCATCTTTGACTTTCCAAGATTAAGCTTCCAGAACTGTGAGGAATAAGAAATAAATGTCTTTTGTTTATAAATAAAACAATAAAAATGTATAAATTTCTCATGTTTATAAGCTTCCCAATCTATTGTATTTTGTTATGGCAGCCCCAGATATCCACAGTGCTAATTACGTCACCTCCTCCAAATATTTTTTCAAATGTCATCATCTCGTTGAAGGCTGAACCTTTCTGTTAAAAAATACATCCCACTTCCCAACATGCCTAATCCCTTTTCCCTACTCTTTTACTGCAGTTTCTCCATAGTTCTACTCATCCCTTCTAACACATTATAATAATTTTTAAAGTTGAAATGCTTATTATTTATTATCTATGTACCTACTAATATGTAAGCTTGAGGAAGACAGGAGTTCTTGTTTTGTTCACTGATGTAGCCCATGAACACAGAATAGTACACAGACATAGTAGGTGTAAAATAAATATTGTTACAATGGATAAATATTTGCAAAAGTTGTTTAGATTTTTCTAGTCTAGCCATCACCAGAGAAGAAAGTATAACTTATCTTACTAAATATAAGTGATAATAAATTGTTTTCAATAATTTATATCAAATCAATTACATTATAGATTTAAACGTTTTGTAAATGAAAAAGCCTTACCCAATATCTTAATGATATTTTAAAGTTACCTAGTGTTTATGAATTTTAATGACCATTCATAATCATTAGTCTTTTTGATTCTTATGATATTTTTCTAAGTAAAATCAGAGAATTATTAATTTCACTTTAAAAATAAAGGAAACGGATTTAGGAAGATTAAATGAGATGCTCAATGTCATCATGCCACTAAGGTCCAGAGAAACAATTTAATTTCTGGTCCTTTGATCTGAGAAAAGTGTTCTTTATACTATGTTATCCTGCTTTTCAACATTAAGATTACATTCACACTGGATTTTTCTGTATCAGTATCATTTTTTGAACAAATATTAGTTGGCTATTTACCATATGCTTGGAACTGTTGGCCTTGGAAATACAAAAGTGAACAAAACTTCTCATGGTCCTCAAGGAGTTAACAATTCAGCAGAAGAGAAAAAGCAGTCTAGTGAAGCATTTCGGAGTAGGCATCAGGATAACTGTGTTCCAATCAGATTTTTAAAAATGAAATAGCTTTGAATCATTGGACAAATTGGTTGCAGGACATGGCCTAGATAAGTCCCAGTCTGCTGTTCTATCATTTTCTCAATTGTAAAACATAGATATTTATATTGCTGTAACACTGTTTAGGTTTAGAGGATTACTAAATTATGCTACTAACATTTTACTTTTATTTTTATTTTTGAGACGGAGTCTTTTTTTTTTTTTTTGAGACGGAGTTTCGCTCTTGTTACCCAGGCTGGAGTGCAATGGCGTGATCTCGGCTCACCGCAACCCCCGCCTCCTGGGTTCAGACAATTCTCCTGCCTCAGCCTTCTGAGTAGCTGGGATTACAGGCACGTGCCACCATGCCCAACTAATTTTTTGTATTTTTAGTAGAGACAGGGTTTCACCATGTTGACCAGGATGGTCTCGATATCTTGACCTCGTGATCCACCTGCCTCTGCCTCCCAGAGTGCTGGGATTACAGGCTTGAGCCACCGCACCCGGCCAAGACGGGGTCTTATTATGTCATCCAGTCAGGAGTGCAGTGGTGTGATCTTGGCTCACTGCAACCTCCACCTCCAGGGTTCAAGCGATTCTCCTGCCTCAGCCTCCCAAGTAACTGGGATTACAGGCATGCGCCACCATACCCAGCTAATTTTTGTATTTTTAGTAGAGACTGGGTTTCACTATGTTAGCCAGAATGATCTCAAACTAGTGACCTCAGGTGATCCAACCCTCTAGGCCTCCCAATGTGCTGGGATTACAGGCATGAGCCATCAGGCCTGGCCCCAGTATTTTATAAACTATAAGGAATTGCACAAGTATATAATAATTTCATGTTATCTTCATAAATTTATTACTCTTTGGTTATGGTATGATCCTGAGAATAATGAGGTAAACCATGATTAGTGTAAATTAAACTGTATTTTGAAATACATTTTAGCAGTTATACCTGACTCCAATGGTGCATATTTTGAACAGATATTCCTGCTGGGTTGTGTGAAAAATATACATCCAAACGACTCTGAGGGGTTAAAAACAAAAGCATTTTTATATTAGTTGAATCATAGAAAGCATAATCCCTTAATATTTATTGGACTAAATTATTTCAAGAAAATTAATTTTAAATTAATCATATGAATAAACAAATCATCAAATTATATTTTAATTAAATATACAAATTTACTTATTAAATTGTACAATTTTTACATTAATATAGAAGCTATTATTGAATTTCTTTTTTTTTAAGACAGAGCCTCACTTTTTTTTTTAAGACAGAGCCTTTATAAGAGTTAGAATTTCTTTTTGTAAATCATAAAAAAAAAGTAACACCTGGACAAAGTCAACATTTTGGTTGTTTGATGATACATTTTCCAGGTTACATTTTGAGCATTTTCATCATCTGTTCTTTCTTGTATCATTACTTACTTTCAGTTCTCTGTGGCTGGTTTTTCATACCCGAGTGATATTGGTCAGATTCCACTTGCAGCCTTTTATAAAAACTACCAGATTCTTTTTTTTGGTTTTTCATATTGGCTTTAGGAAAATAATTTTAAGCCAGACCCTACTTCCTCCACAGATCCTGCTAGGCTCAAGAGACCGATTCAAGCTTAACCACAGTTTCACAATTACTATTTTCAAACACACTACGCGTGAAAATTTTCTACTTCCCACTTCCTACAATTCCAGCTAAATTAAGACACAGTCATATTACAATCTACAACACTGTCAACTTCTGTTGCAGAAGAACTGCCACAGATTTGAAGGCTAGAAAACCAGAGTATAAGCTTTTCTAATAATGTACACACAAAAAAGAATTCTCAGAGATATCGCATTATAATTATAAAAAAATATAGAATTGGCTAAATATACTACCCAAATCATAGAATTAATGGATAAATCAAGTAAACATAAACATTGTATTTATGATTCTTCCAGTTCTCTCATAGTAGGTGCTTAACACTACATGAACAGAAGAATATGAAAAAGAGGGAATATGAAAGTAATCCTTTTTGCTTTCTATGGCAGAAGGTACATTGCTCATATCTTTATGAGTAGAAAAGAAGAGAACTGAGTTTATTTCTTATAGCATTCTGAAAATAAGGTAAGATTGAACAAAGTCAACAAACATGTCCTTGTGGCATGAAAATGTGTTTGGGAATTAAGAGAACACTCTCTTTTTCTGAATGTATACATTGGCTCTCTTTGAGACGTTCTTAAAGGCCCAGGAACAAAAACCAACCACTAATCCAATTGCCACATTTGCTTCTTTCAAATCTAGATTTAATGTGTTTAATTTAATGTGACGAAAAACACTTCAAATAGATGTCTATATCCTTAAAAGAACCTATACACAATTGATCCAAAGGTTTTGGTAATAGTAGCTTGAGTACCACAATAGTTTCCCACTCCAAGAGTGTTGATAAAAGCTAGAAACTGAAAGATAATTGGCAGGCACTAATTCTAATTATGAAAGGATGAACAAGGATGGGAAAGAGTATTAGGAACCAGCAGGAGGAATTATGGGAAACAAATAAATAGAAGAGGACCTAAATCTTAGAAGTCTCAGGAAACTAATACCCAATAGCAAAGGTCAATAAATATACCCATCACATCAGCTGCTTTTAAATATTTACAGTCAGCAAGACAAATATGAAGGTTAAACAATTCCAGCATGTTAATGCAAATTAATTGTACAATGTTGGTGTAGTCATAAAATCAGATAGACTAAGAATCTGACTTCTAGTGTATGTGGATGAAACACAAAATGACACAAGGTATGGTAGAAGCACTATTATTATTATACTTTTCAAATGTTTGAAAATATATATATTTCAAATATAAGTTGTTCTTACCATATTTAAGTATTTTGGGTCATATCCAAACATCATAAACAAGATATTGAGGCAAATCTTATCAAAACTCTGTAGTGGACACAGCTTTGAACCAACAGATTTTTTAAATGAGGTTTTAGATAAGAAACCTCATTGTTGCCAGAAAACATCTGTAAAATAAATTTATTTTATCCACATTGAACAATCACAAAAAGTAATAAAGAAATGATATAGTAAAATAATAAAGAAATGATGTGGTAATTCACTATGCATACAACCAAACAAATTATCTCACAGTAGTTTGAAAATTTTAAATAAAGGAATAAATTTGTAAGCAGGTTGTAGAGATGGTTTGGCCACTGGATTTCCTCTCACAATAAGGTTCTAAAGGTATAACAAGTAAAATTGTATTCCTCTGTAGAAATAAAGGCAAAAATCTAGTGTAAATGACACCAAACATTTCAATTCATACATGTGGTTGTTTACTATAGTCAAGATCTCTTATTTTGAAAGCACAGAATTATCATGTTGGGTTATCAATCATGTAAAAGAAAGGTGTAACATACCTTCACTATTGACTTCCATTTGTATGTCATTCTAATTAAAGGACTTTTTAAGTACTTTGTGCAAAAAACTGGTGCTAAGGCAAAAAATATTTTGATTCTTTCAGCTATCTTCAGTATAGTAGAAAATGTTATGAAACCTAAAAGAAAAGAAGATATAAATTATTAAGCTAATCTTATGCAATTACTACCATGTAAGAGATGACACCATGGAGAATAAGAGTAAGTTAAAAAATAGTTTTTGAACAATTAACTTATTTATTTCTTAATTCATTTATCACTTTTTAATCACCCAGTATATAATATATGGATCATAACATAAAACTGATAATTAGGGCTTTTACAATGTATAGTCCATAAAGAATGATAATTTAGCAATAAATCAGACATGTAACACCATAGTTTAAAGATTAGGAGCAATATTGAACATTTTTTATTATGGGCAATGGTAAAAATGAAATATGCGAAATCTTCAGACAGATGAATCTTACACTTTAGGTGACATACTCAACAAATGTCACATTGTTTTAATATTTAGCTTCAATATATTTTAAAACTCCTTAACTTTTTATACAGAGGATACTAAACATCTATTTTATCAATAGTTTAGAGGCATTAATGTGAAAATGGTAATTTTCCCTTTGCCATCTTATCAAGGTACCTACTTATACATCAATATTCTGAGTGGTTATTTATTTATTTAGGTTAGGTTCTGAGGAGCCAAACAACCAAACAATTAAGCCATGGAACTCGATCCTCATTTTTTGTCTTATTTCTATGTTTTCAGTTTCTCTCTGCAAAGTGGAGTAACACAAGTAAAGAGGTTTATAGTATGCAAGAGAATTATGTTAAGTCATAGGCAATTTATTTCTGAAAGTAAAGTTGTTATCTATTAGGCATTAGAGTTCTGACTAAAGTTATTTTATTGACATCTTTAAATAAAGAAGAATTTCCTAATTTTTGTGCATTTCTTAAGTTTGATCAGACTTAAATGTAAAAACATACATAGCTTTTTTGTCTTTTCTACTGATAAAATCCTATGCTACACTTTTAAAAGGGAAAATAATGTGAACATTCTATTTGTAGAAAAAATAATAGCGGCAATCTCACTTTGATCTTAAATAACATAGAGATCCAACTTTTATACAATTTGAAACAAACAAAACTACAGCCAATTCTTTGCTATTAGAGAAGATTCCATGTGGGATTAAAGCAGCATGTAAGATTCTGCTTTGATCCCACAAAGGGCATTCTGCTATACGTAGCAATTAGGTCACATCCCACTTAAATCTACTTTTACTGAAAGAGAATAATCAAAAATTTTATAGTAATTTGAGCACTTGTACACATTTTAAGTAACACATTTTAAATAAAGGATCAATTACATAGCAAAGTTGACATATTCATTGACACATGGCTATGGTATCCACTGGTCCTACCATATAACGCCCATCAAGAGGCTGCCAACCTGATAGAAAAATGAAACAACCCCTTGAATGCTCAGTGGAAGATGACAGCTGGGAGATGACATCCTGTAAGTATGGGCACTATCCTTCAGGATTTATTGTACATCTTTTTAAAATGGTGATAATATATTGGTCATTCCTCATTAAGTAGAATACAGGAGTCTGCAGAACAAGAGCTTGCCATCAATCCTAGTAACTGACTCAGGGTTGTGTTCTTGCAATTTCAGTCTCTACATATCTAGAGGCTCTTGTCCTCAGAGAGAAAATGCTCCCACCAAGGCACTCTAATCATCCTAACAAACTTAAAGCTATGACCACTGCCTAGTCACTGTGGGCTCTTCATTACTGAAGACCAGGAAGTTCACTGACCATAATCATAAGGAAGTATGTCTGCTGATACAAAATGAGGAAAGGGAGAAATAAATTTTCTCTTCAGGTGATCCACTGAGTCATCTTCTCCTACTTCTATGCCCTGTTTTAACTGTACATGAACAAATACAACAATCTCCTGATATGAGTATGTTAACCCTTAGGGATGAGGGCCTGGCTTACCCTGTCAGGCAGGCTAGCTGAGAGGTAGAGAAATCTAGAATCGATGGTGGAGGACGAAATTTATGAGTACTAGTTATGGCCTTAGGTTTTGCTTTTTAAGGGTTTACTTTTGCTCCTTTCTCTGTAGAATTGTCCATGGTCAAATTGGAACTGCCTCACCTAAGAGATCATACCTCCTTCTAGGGTTAGCCTTCAGACAATGATTAATTGACATAGGAAGGCAAAAACTGGCTCTCTAATCTCACCTCTTTAGTGCAATTTTTATGGGAACCTTGAACTCTTCTGAGATCATTTTGCAGCTAGCCCCAAGCTGAGTCGTATTATCCCTTAACTCCTCACCCTACTTTATCCTAGTTTCCACCTTACTGCTTCCTGACAGTATTTCATCAATTAGTCACATGTACCTGAACCCCTCTCTCAGGCTCTGCCTTTAGAACACTCTAAGGCACTTGCTGTATTTTAAATTGTCTTTAAATCTTTAATAGAGCACTTGCAAAATGAGGTCATATCTTGGGGGATAATTACTATTATTATATAAAATCTATGTTAAGATTTTCTGCTACTGGGTGTAACCTTTATAAATATGCAAAATTATGTTAATTGAGGTTGTTTCAAATTAATATCCTCTCTGAAGTATACTTTCATCTTCAAAATAACTTGAAAGAATGCCCTATAATATAATCAACATTCTATTTTTTCACATCCTGTTTCCTTCTGAAAGAAGCTAAGAAGAAAAGAAAATACTTGGATTTTATTTGGGTAATTATATGAATAAGCAAAAGTAATCCATTACATATTCTGCTAGTTAAGTGGCAGATCTAGGATTACAACCCAGATCTCCTAACAAATTCCAGTGCATTTTGTACCACGCTCTGATGATTCAAATGTACTTACTGTCGGAATAAAGAGCCGTGAGGCTGCTACCAACCTCATTGCTCTATTACTAGAAGAGAGAATCACAAAGAAGGAAATTTGTACAAGCCTTTCTTCAAACCTGGAGCATAATAATGTTATTGTGCTTCAGAGCATTTCTAATCTCTCATCAGTAGAAGAAAATTCTAGAGAATCAACATGTAAGAGCAAAATGATCCACAAAGGAAGCCTGGGAAGAACAGCTTGTGTTCCATCACAACCTCTCTGTGACCAGAAAGCCGGTGTATATTCTTGCATGTTTCTTCTTGCGGCATGCGGGAAGATATATGAGAAGTTAACTATTCACTTAATCTTAAGATGCTTTTCTTGTCCTACATTCTCCAGGGACTGGAACAATTAAGAACTTCCCACCCCAGATAGTCAATCCATCTTCAATTGAATATTACCTAGATTTTTATTATTGTTTGTCTTCCCATAAGGAATTCTATAAAGGCCAAGGATATAACCATCTTCAGTTACAATATCATATTCTTCATCAGGGTAGCCCAAGTAGGAAATAATTTGGCTCTAGATTAAGAAAAAACAAATCTTTTAGCATAAAATCGTTATCCAATTAAGTTGAATGGTTTACTGTTTCTAACCTATTATGTAATAATGATCATTGGTATTCTCTCTCAACCTCAGGCCTATCTATTTTTATTTTTGCTAATTAGTGATTCATTCAGATAACAAGTATGCATACAACACCTGCTGAACAGCAGTTTTATAAACAAGGGATTGAAAGAATAAATAAAAAAAAAATAAAAAACAAACCCTTACCTTCAAAAAGATATCTCAATAACATTTTCTTTTTTAATTACTAGTCTCTCCTACTTTTACCTACCCACCCATATACAATTTTAAAATATATGTGCATCCATAAATATTTGCATGTCTATGTGTATATCTAATCTTATATCTGAAATTTGTATGTAGGTACACATGTAGAAGAGAAGAAGATATATATATATAAAAATATATATGAAGGTATGAATATATTTCAAAGTTGTGAAGGTATGAATATATTTACACATTTTTCATTATAAAGATAGAATAAGGCTGAAGGAGAAACTGAGTTATAGCATAGCAGATGAGAAACATTAACCCATATAAAAATACTTGAATATAGACATATACATTTGACTGTAAATCTATTAACTTATAATTCCAAATTTGAAAAGTAGCATTCTCTGTTATTTCAGCAGTCCTGATTTATTTTCTAACAACTTACAATATTCATATCTGCTTCAGGGTTCACAGATCTTTGATTTTGAAAAACACCATGAGTAATTCCAAGAATTCAGATAAAATACATTATTGTGAAAAGATACCACATTTGGGACCTATGTATAAAAGGGAGATGTTTATACAATTAAAATTGCAGCAAATAATACCCTTTATAAAATTGCAACAAATAATTCTGTGAGGTAGGAAATATTATTTTTTTCGAATGAGAAAACTGAGGCTTTGAAGAATTAAATAACTTGGCTAAAAACATAAAATGTATAACTGGCTGTCAGAATTCAGATTCAGGACTGCTTAATTTCAAAGTCCATGCTTTTCTGGCTACTCTATTTTGTAGATAAATTCCCTCTTAGAAGTCTCCATTACAGTATTCCTCAGCCCAATTCTGAGAGTTTTGTCATGTATTACAAATTAATTGATGTCTGAATTAGTGATGTAATAGTATTATTTACTAACCTAACACTCATTTAATGTATGCTTAATTTTTTTGCGGGAGGAGGGGATGAAGGGGAAGATAACTTTCATTCAGCCACTCAGGGTCGGTATTTTATTTTGTTTACAGATAGGTGATTTTTGAGTCTCCTAAATTCTGGGAAACCGGAATGCTTAAGTTTTTTCTAAAAACAATAAGCCAGGGAGCCACAGAGGCTGCCATCCAGATTCTCCCCCAAAAAGCATGACTTGCAAATCTCATGAGTCTTGTATAATAAACCAACACACTATACCATGATCCAAGGATTATAAAACCCCTAGCTTCACCACTCACTCAGCTAGGTGACTTAAAGCACATTACTTAACCTCTCTTGAGCATCATTTTCCCTGCCTACAAAATGCAACTAGTACCTACTTCTCAGGATTGTTATAAAACTTAAATTTGATAAATGTGATATGATGTATTAGTGTAATACCTGTTACATAGCTGATATTAATATGTGACAATCCTCCTTACTCAAAAGAACATATTACTTACAAGCAATTTAGGGACATATTTACATGCACCTAATTGATATGTCTTTCTTACGTATTTATTAGTCCAGTCTCCAGTACTTTGATAGCTTGAAAAAAATTATGTAGATTTGAAAGTTTTAAAGTGTATTCATTTTTTAAAAAACATTTTCTAACTTAAAAATTTAATTTACAGAAGCTGCACTTTTCTCCTTTGGTACAAGTATTTATATTTGGTATAATATCTGTGGTTTTCATTGAAGGCAACAGCAAAGTTTAAAACAGTATTATCAATATTTTCTACCAAAGAGAAGAACAAGAGTTGCTAATTTAACTGCACATAGAAAAACTTTATAACATTTGGAATCACATTTAGATATTCCTCTTTGGTTGTATTCTTGGAAAACTGCTCAGCAGGCAGCAAGTCTACTCAGTCCTCTGTCCTCATGGGCTGTCTCAGATAAGTACATGGAAATAGTGTGGGAAGGAATATTTTCTCTGTCTGTACATGCAGTAACTGATATTGTAGCTTACTACACACTGCTTCCTTCCTAGCAGAGGTTTTAAAGTACTTTGCACTATATCTAGAATGAATATATAGACTATCATCTGAAACAATATATCTTTGAAAATGAAATTCTGTTGACAATTATCTTGGGAAAACAGGCATAATCTGGACTGTTTCAGGCATCAGTACGTTATGACTTCTCAATTTGTAGCCTCAAATATTTCTCAAAATTTTAATATTTTTATACAAAGAAAACACAGAAGGATCAATCTTTAATATAGTTGTTGGTACACCTAATAACCACTAATGGGAAATGTTTAAACTGAATACAATTAACCTTATTATTTGCAGTGACTTATTAACCATATAAAGCGACTAACAAAAACGTTCACTAAAGTGTAGAATGTGGCCATTGAGCATTTGAAATGTGACTAGTAAGAAACTGAATATTTTATTTTAGTTAAATTAATTGTAATATGAAAGCTGAAGCAGTGTAAAATATTTTTCTGTTAAGCACAACTTTAAATTTTTATAAGATTTACTGTATTGTTAATCCCAATTCAAGACTGTCTCCAAACAAAAGCAATACTTATTAAATATTCCACAATTGAAAACAAAAACATGGCAGATGACATGATTTTACATCCATATCATGCTGAATGGAAAAGCTAATTTATTATCTTAATACATTTCTTTGAAGCTATAAATTGGGCAGTAATTTTATAGCCTCAAATGTCCAGTTAACTGCTACTAGACTTCATGTTGAAAGGAAAACTTTACATAATGCAATTCAATAATAATGATTTACACATTTTTCTAACGTGAATCAATATCCAGATTTTAATTATAAACAACAGCATTTATATAAACTGGCTACAAAACTACAAGAAAAAATAGTTGACATTGATAAATTTAGCTCAGTGTCATTGATCATTATCCACCTGAATTACCATTTGGCCTATCTTGCTTTAAGTATTATCCACAAAAGTCTTGTATATCTTCTAGCAAACGGATAGTGAACCCTCATAGTTTCTGAGAATTCTAACTTTGATTCTAGTTGCCAGGGAAACTGTACTAAATATGACAAAATTTCTACCCTCTTGGTGCTTAAATTCTAGTAGGAGAAAAACGATAAACAGGTAAAGAAGCAAATTACTTCTAAAAAGGGATTGAGATGAAGAAAATAAAGCATTCATTTTTCCATCATTTGATGAAATAGGGAGTCATTGGGTGGTTATTTTAGGTCAAGTGGTCAGAGAAGACCACTTTTAGGTGACTTTTAAGCTGATTTGAATAAAGCCATTCAAGGAGTCGGCCTTGAAAAGATCAAGAATAGGAAAAAAGTCAAGGGAAAAGGTCAAGTCCATTAGGAAAAATAAATATTAGACAAGGAGGCTGTCTCATCTATCTTGCAATCCTAATTTTCTCTAGGTCATCTAGTCATTCTTACCTTTCCAGAAAGATGTACTACTGCCAAGTAGTCAACCATGGACCCATTACTCTATTAACTGTGAAATCAGATGTAACCCATTCTAGAGATTGGGCATAAGGAGACATTGTAAGCCACTATGGCTACTTCCATTTGATGGCCATAGCAATTCAAAATTCTGGATACCTGTTTTGAAAGAGTGCATGATCATAGGGAGAAAGAAAAAAGACAGTGAAGGGTTAATGCAAATTAACAACTGCAGGAGCTGCAAGTCAAAAAAGGATGCTCTATACACAGAGAAGAGCATAAGTTAAGGTTTTCTTCTGCCATAGGTAAGTGTGTTCAAAGAAAAGAAAGCAATTCGGTTTAGCCACAGCATAGAAGAAATGAAGATAAAAACGTAAGAAATAACCATAGAATGAGAATATATTATTGAATATTTTTGTGCCAAGTTAATGCAGTGGAACTTAATTCTGTATGAAACTGAGAGCTACAGAAAGTTTTTGAGGATGGTGGTGACTCATCTAGAAGCTGGGTGCAGAACTGCGAAGTAGGAAGATTAGTTAGAAAGCTACTGTAATAATTCAGGTAAGAACTGATGGTTTGAACTGGTCCGATGGTAATGGCTTATCAGAATTTATTAACAGTAGTGTCACTAAAGTTGGTATACAACCCTCCAGTGCTAAATTTGACTGGCTTAAAAAAAAAACCTGATGGCTTGAACTCAAGTAGTGAATTAATTTTTTGGCAATTACTCTTTGAAATGTTAAATGTTCACAGTTGGCAGAGTGCAGTGAAGAAGATGTTCTGACTTTACAGTATTCTATCTGTTCACTATCTGTTTTCTACCATTGCTGGTGGAAATGGAATTTGAGCAACTTTTCTGTTGTGCATTCTAATGTGATTGGATTCAAGAGACAATGGAGAAAGGATCAAAAAGACCTGAGGACTGATACGTATCAAGGATGAGAAAAAAAGAAGCTATAGAAGATAATTATGAAGTTTCAAGTCATTGTCCAAGATGATCAAATTATTAACAGAAGTGAGAAAGCAGGAAAGGATGGAAAAGAGCAGGAGAGCAGACTCAGAAGACCATGAAGGTCTGCCCTTGCTTCACTTCACCAGAGATAACAGGTAAGCTTGGGTAAACTCACTTGAACTTAGTGTCTGTATTAACATGTATAAAATGGTTGCAGAGGGCAGTTGAAATAGGTTAATTCAAATGCCCTTTCAAGACAATTTGGAGATTTTAAGGCTTTCTATGGCTGTGAATCACATTAAGCTTTTAATTTCAGAGAAATCTGAACTTTTAATTTCAGAAAAATCATAAACTTTAATATATACTTGTACACTATTTTCCCAAGATAAACGTCTGCTTTAAAGGCATACTTTAAGGCTTTTGACAGAGTATCAAACTGTATTATGAAAAATTTCTCTAGTACACTTCCATCAGTAATATGCTATTGTATTATTTTGCTGTGTCTCTACAAATGAAGACATTTCACATTTACAAGTCATTCCTAGCCTGGGCAACATGGTAAAACCTTGTCTCTACAAAAAATACACACACACACACACACACACACACACTCACAAAATTAGCCAGGTGTGGTGGTGGTCACCTGCAGTCCCAGCTACTCCGGTGGCTGAGGAAGGAGAATGGCTTGAGCCTAAGAAGTCAAGGCTGCAGTGAGCCCTGATCATGCCACTGCACTCCCCTAGGTGACAGAGCAAGACCCTGTCTCAGGTTAAAAAAAAAAAAAAAAAGCCCAACAAATGAAAAATAGTACCTCCTTTTAATCTGTATTTGAATATAAAAAATTAAACACATGCTTATTGGACTTAGGTATTTCTTTTGATTCAAGAACCCCAGGCAATAGATACACATTTTCCTTTTGGCTTTTGTCACTTGGGTCTTTAAGACTTTGTATAATGTCTTTAAATAATATAAATTTTATTTTTCGTATGCCTTTCCAAAATTTACTATTTGTATTTTGTCTTGCATATTTGGTACCATACAAGTTGTAAATGATTATGTAGTCAATGTTTCTCTGTTCAATTCCATCTTTGATTTTTATGCTGAAAAGTATTTTTTTAGTCATATAGGCCCAGCTACATTTTCTTCCAGTTCTTTTATTAGATACATCTATCATTAATTCATCACCCATTTGATACATGGTAATTTTTTTCATGATGTAGACATGAAGTAAATATTCTGATTTTTAAATGTTTCCATTATAATTGGCTACCGTTGTCAATTTTCTTATTGGTGCTGATACTTAATCGGTTTCTTAGTTTTCCAGGTAATAATTTATCTGCAAGTCAGTGAACTTAATTACTTAATAGCTCAGTATTCTCATTGTCTTCTGCTGTTTCACTGAAAACTTCCAGTACAATGTTAGGAGGAGGAAATAAAAACAATCGCAATGGCACCAATCCTTCTCTTGTTCATCTTTATATTCCTTAGAACATACGGAATGCGTTCTGACATAGAACTTAGTATTTATTGAAGAGTAATTTGTAATTTTCTGATGAATCAAGTATCTTTAATCTTTACAAGTTTGAAATGTATATGTTATTGTTTCCATTTTCTAGATGGAGAAATTGAAGTTCAGGAAAGTTACATGAAATCCTAGGTCTAAGAAAAATGTCTCCCAGATTCCAGAGTATGTTTCTATTATGTTAATAGTAGCTATTCAAGCATTAGAGGAAAGTTTTCTCGTGGTATCGCTGGTGTTTCTTCTTCCCACTTTCAAAACTAGAATATTAAAATAGCAAAAATCCCAACAGGCAAGAGAGCTATCGCAGTATACGGGTTAGGGTGGTTCTCTGCAGTAGTCAACGTCAGCTCTGTGGCGAGGCGGATTCTCCAAACGATAGCCCACATGATTTCCACGCTTTTCTGGCGAGGGGCAGGCCGGAGTGTGGAACCTATCTGGCTGCGCCAGGCCCCCAAAGAGAGGAGACAGACAGCGCAGGTTCTCTGAGGACTCTGGTTTGCTTCTCAAGGACCGACTGGCCTCTCCATTCCAGCCGCCTCCTCTCCGCCCCCTGCAGGCCGGCTGGAGGGACCGCCCAGGGCCCGGGACCGCGAAGGGAGCACGGAACCAAAGAGCGCTAGCGCCGGTTCCGCCGCCCTTCCACAAATCCCGGGCCGCTCGGGCCGCTCGGGCCGCCCGGCCCCGCCGCGGAGACTCGGCGCGGATCGTGGATCTTCCGCCATGGCGCGGGTGCTGGTCGTGGGCGCCGGGCTGACAGGAAGCTTGTGCGCTGCGCTGCTGAGGAGGCAGACGTCCGGTCCCTTGTACCTCGCTGTGTGGGACAAGGCTGAGGACTCAGGTTTGTTGTCTAAATGCCAAAACCTGGGAAAAGAGGCCGGCCGGCCCGGCTGCTGAGGCGGTGTGGACCTGCACCTGAGTAAGTCTGAGGCGAAAACGCTAGAACCTCAGCACCCTGAGAGCGGCCCACGCGCTGAACTGCGGGCCGCGTCACGTGATCGGGAACTTCCGCCGCCTGGGAAAAGGCCCAAAAAGGGGCGAGGGTTGGAGCGGGGCAGGAGTACTCCGCGCTTTTCTGAGGGAGACCTGGGACAGCGGCGTGGGAGAGGGCCGGACCCAGGTTTGCAAAGCTTAGGCCTACTGCTGTCCCTAAAAAATAGATTTTTGCCTTTGTCTGACTGTTGCCTTTGCAGCTTTCTGCAGATTTTGAGGCTCCCAAAGTGATCATACATAGACCAAGACTTTCTGAAGATGTAGTTTGCAGAATGCTGTCATTCTGAAGATTGACTGCATAAATGAAAGAGCATTAGTTGACTCATTTATTCTAACATTTAATTAATCTTTTTTAGTGTTGTCCCTTCACTCCTATTACTAAATATATACACTTTTGTGGTGCTGGACACTGCTACATTGCTCCTGACTCCTTTTCTTCTAAAATCTCACAATCTGATTAAAAACTTCAGCTTAAAAAAAATTAAGATAGTTTTGAAATAATCCATTTGGGGTAACCTAGGGTGGGTTGAATTAATTGCTAAGGCTCATTCTAATGCAATAAGACATTTTCCTGTGGATTAATTCCAGGGGGAAGAATGACTACAGCCAGCAGTCCTCATAATCCTCAGTGCACAGCTGACTTGGGTGCTCAGTACATCACCTGCACTCCTCATTATGCCAAAACCCACCAAAGGTGAGTTAGTTGCAAGAGGTGGAATCAATCTTGGCAGTTGCGTGGTATAAAAAGATGCGAATGATCCATTTTTAACATGATTAAACTTGTCTCTTGGAACATGTCATTATTGATGGTGTTAGCAGTAAAAAGTTAAGTAAAATGGGAAACTCTAACACCTACCTCATAGGATTGTTGTTAGGATTAGATGAGCTGATAAATGGAACATAGTAAGCGCTCAGTAATCAACTCCTGTGTTGGTGTTATGGAAGAAGGCAACTAGCTGTGATGGGAGTCAGTCTTCTTAACCAAATTTAAAATTGATGTACTAAATACATTTGTTTTCATTAACTTTACTTTTAAAATATACTTACAGAGGAATAGGTCTTTGGCAAAAGGTCTACAGACTCTCAAAACATTTCTCTTCTTCACCTGTATTATGTTTTATTTAACACAGAATATACATTTTATTTAATACAAAATATGCATAGGAATATTTCTAATTATGAATGAATTACAACCTCTGAGAATTATTGGAAGAGAATATAGTCTTTTAGAGCTAATCATGCTATATAATTACATTAAATATACCTATTGATTTATTTCAGTTTTTATGATGAACTCTTAGCCCATGACATTTTGAGGCCTCTAACCTCGCCTATTGAAGGAATGGTGATGAAAGAAGGAGACTGTAACTTTGTGGCATCTCAAGGAATTTCTTCAGTTATTAAGCATTACTTGAAAGAATCAGGTGGGAGTAAGATTTTCTCTGCCTAAAATTTAAAATAGCATTTAAAAACAAGTTATACACATAGTTACATATTAATACTGTACAGAGAGTTGTAAAAAGTAGATTTCTATTCAGTGACCAATAGCTAGTCCTTCCCGAAAGTAATCATTGATAAATTTCCAGTGTATATTTCCACAATATGCATAAACATATATAAACAATGTTTATGCATCTCCCTATTGAGCTACATGGCTGTCTCTATTTATAAAATATTATAAATATATTTACACACATATATTTCTTTATTCTTATAAAATATACTCAAGGGATACTTTTATATAAATGATTCTGTACCTTATTTGGCTCATATCTTGGATCTGTTTTCACATCAGCAAAGTTATTGTAATCCATTTTCTTTAATGATTGTCTAGTATTTATGACATATGTGAACCATCATTTACTTAACTATTAGCTTTCTGGTAAATATTTAGGCTGTATGAGGTTGGGAGATTATTTTGGTTTCTGCTAATACAAACATTGCTGTGTGTCTATTATTGACATGCTTTTGTAAACATATCTTTAGGATCAGTTCCTCAGAGAAGAATAGCTATGTCAAACAGTATGTGCATTTTTAATTTAACTAGGTTGTGCCATGTATTCTTCTTAAAGAATATCTCACCAATAGTGATGAGAATATTTCTTTCTCCACATCTGGGTATAATGGAAATTTTTAATTTTTGCCATTATAATAGTTTAAAAATGGGATCTCTTTGTGGTTTTGATTTGCATTTCTATATTTATAAATGAGTTTATGCATTTTTTGTTTTATTAGCCAGCTCTTTGCAATTTTCTTCTGTGAATGTCTTATTTATAACCTTTGCCCATTTTCCATTAGGATTTTCATTTGTTCCTTATATGTCTGAGTGTTTTGAAAATAGACCTTCTAAAAAAGAAAACAATTTTTCTGGGAGGATAGATAATTATTTTTAAAACAGAATGAA